AAGATCGTAAATTAAAATTTTAAAGCTCATCCACATTTTCACCACCCTGATATGTTAACTGATTTCCTTTGCTTTTTTTATTGTTAATATTACATCCAAATGTGTGGTTTTTAACATCATACTCTACCCACGTTGGTACACAGTCATAAATATTTCATTGTATGAATGTTATATTAGTTACATTGATGTACTGTCTCTTAATCCATGATTGAGCATTTGGGTAATTCCTAATCTTTAGTATTTGTGTTGTAATGATGGTGGCATTTTAGAAGGGTGTAGACATTTCCTGGATGTGATCCTTTATAGGTGGAAGTATGTGGCCCTTTTGGGAGGAGTGTTAAGATAAGGGAATGGCATGTGGTGTGTCAATGTGCCAGTTTTTAGTAGTTGAATATTTCTACATTTTTAGTGAGAGAATTAAGAAACCAGCTACTTGAAGTGCCACCCCCTGCCCGTACTCTTCAATAGCATATGGATTCCAAGGAATCTTATTAGTGATGGCTTTGCAGCTTTTTATTTTTTGTCTTGAGACCGCTTGGGATTGAGTTAAAATACCTTTAAAATAATCATTCTTTTAGCAAAAAGAGAAAAAAAAAAGATTACCTTAAGATTTTTAAACGATATCAAAGAAAGATATCAGGATGTTTTGTGTGTGCTTTTATTTTGGGGGCATAATTTTAATGAATTTAGCAAGTCATTTTTCAGAGTTAAAGATGCAAACATATTTCCCATATCAGTTGAGACAAAAAATAAAAACCAGATGGCAAACATAATCATAATTTTTGCATATTTGTGTCAATATGCTATAGTAATAGGTATCTGGTGAGTGTTTAGAAGTAGAAGAAAAATTTTTTTTCTTACTGAATTTAATTTGTAATCTAAACTTTGAACAACAGGCCATAGACACATACTAATTATATAATAACCTGAAAAGTTACGGTGATAAAGTTTCAGCTTTTATATCTGTTTTTATGAAAAACAATGCTCCTGAGAGTGTTTACTTGAATTTAATGATTAAAATTAAAAATATATGATCACCTATTATTATTTTTTTTTTTTTGAGACAGAGTCTCACTCTTTTTGCCCAGGCTAGAGTGCCATGGCGTCAGCCTAGCTCACAGCAACCTCAAACTCCTGGGCTCAAGCGATCCTCCTGTGTCAGCCTCCCGAGTAGCTGGGACTACAGGCATGTGCCACTATGCCCGGCTAGTTTTTTCTATATATTTTTAGTTGTCCGATTAATTTCTTTCTATTTTTAGTAGAGACGGGGTCTCGCTCTTGCTCAGGCTGGTTTCGAACTCCTGAGCTCAAACAATCCACCCGCCTCGGCCTCCCAGAGAGCTAGGATTACAGGCGTGAGCCACCGCGCCCGGCCTGATCACCTATTATTTTTAATCCATTAATTATAAATGAATGACAGCATACTGTACATGTGAACCTAAGGAAATGGTTTTACTTTATTTATTTGTTTTTTGAGATGGGGCCTTGTTCTGTTGACCAGGCTGGAGTGCAGTGGCACTAACATGTAGTTTACTGCTACTTAGTCCTCCTAGGGTCAAGTGATCCTCCTGCCTTAACCTCCCCAGTAGCTAGGACTACTGGTGCGTGCCACTACGCCGGGCTAATTTTAAAAATTTTTTGTAGAGAGATCTCACTATGTTGCCCAGGCTAGTCTCTAATTCCTGGCCTCAAGGAATCCTCCCACCTCAGCATCCCAAAGTGCTGGGATTACAGGCGTGAGCCACCAGGCCCAGCCTGGTTTTACTTTAATGTGTATTATTCAGCCTATCTAAAAATGTGATTGCTTAATTTTCAGTAAGGAAAAGCAGAAGCTGGTGGTTGTTGTGTAAGTTTTTTTCCCCAAAGGAAAATAGTGATCGAGACTTATTTTTATGTTTTATCCTCCAAAGCTGTTGGAATGTTAACTCTTATAGTAGTTACAGAGAATTGGTACATGTGAGAGACCTCAAAATTTTCCTTGACACTAGGTAAGAGCTCCACCTTGTGATCTTTGAGCATATTTTTTAAAAAGTTAATAACCTACAGTAGTCCAGATATGGTGTGGTAAGTTTGATTTTTAAACTATTATTTGAGCATAACATAATTTTTGTAGTTTTGAGTTTCCCAATTAGGTCAAATGATATTAAGCACATTTGAAAATGATGTGAAATTTTTAATTTAAGTCTTTCGGGGAAGCAAACTGTATATATATGCATCTGTAGATATTTAAAATAAAAAACATAAATATCCTTAGCTCTTCATATAGATTAAAGTTTGTATTCTTTAAAAAAAAAACCCAATGCCAACTTACCCTTTGTGTTCTTTCCCTTTTAAATTGCAAAGCAACTTTAATATTTACAATTTTTGTTCAGCTGTGATAAACTGTTTTGATGGCAAATTAGTTGTTTAGAGAATGATTCAAATAGCAAAAGCCCAAATACATGGAATTTAGCATTCTGACATTTAATGATATTAGGTGACAATAAGAGGTAGGTGTCTTCTAGTAGAAATAAATGTTTTCATGTTTCTCGTATAGGTAGTAAGGGCAAGGATCATTGCGCTCATGTTTATTATAGTATTCCCTTTGGCCAGCATTGTGTTTGGCACATGGTAGATACTTTTACTTGGATGGATTTTTTTCAAAAAAAATATTTAACCGGGGTAGGGAATTGACCAGTTCAATAATTTTTTTCTAAGTCTGTCAGACTGTGACACAATATTTTTTTCTTTTAAGAATATAGGCAATGGCCGGGCACGGTGGCTTACGCCTGTAATCCTAGCACTCTGAGAGGCTGAGGTGGGAGGACTGTTTGAGCTCAGGAGTTCGAGACCAGCCTGAGCAAGAGCGAGATCCCATCTGTACTAGAAATAGAAAGAAATTAATCGGACAACTAAAAATACATAGAAAAAATTAGCTGGGCATGGTGGCGCATGCCTGTAGTCCCAGCTACTCGGGAGGCTGAGGCAGTAGGATCGCTTGAGCCCAGGAGTTTGAGGCTGGTGTGAGCTAGGCTGACGCCACGGCACTCTAACCCCGGCAAGAGTGAGACTCTGTCCCAAAAAAAAATACGCAAAATCTTGGATTTTGCTTTTGTGTTTGCTTTGCTTTCAAATTACCAAGTACATGTTAGTATAGCCTATGCTGTGCAAGATAATTTGACCTGGAAGACTTCTTTCTTTTACACTAGAAATTAATTTTGTGCTATTCACGGTAATGTGGTATATCACACAGTATTTTGTTTAGTGCTCCTTGCTTTTCAGAGCTGATGCATTCTTTATGTTCCTCACCTGTCATTCCTTAGGAGACTACATTTATGAAATATCTTTAAAGTTTGTGTAAAAACTATATTGAAAGAAAGCAGTAAGTTTGGTTTTTATAAAATGCTCAGAGAGGCAGACAGACATGGCAAGGATCACATGGCCAATTTATTGCCATCTTGCAATCTAGATGACCTGACCTGTTGGTTAGAATTTATTAGATCTGTGACTCTCCAATTCCCTTTAAAAAAATAAAATAGTTTTCTTTTAAAAAAATAGTTTTCTTTGTAAAATAAATTAGCATTTTAGGAGGTAAAGGCATATCCTACATATGATAACAAGCCTCAAAACTCTGGTGTACTACTTGGACAATTCCTTGTGTTAACTATGAATAAAGCCAGACTAATAATTAGTGGTCTTGGAGGGGAACAGTCCTGGTACAGTGACTTAGGGCCTTCTCCTTTGAAGACCATATTAACAGTTGTAGCTAAAGGTTTTGCAATCTCACATTCAGAAAAAAGATAAACTCAATGGTGGTATATATAATTCTTGATTATTCACAGTTAATTTGTAGATTATTCATTCTTGTTACCTCATTTATATATTTTCGTGAACAAAAACTAATATTTTACTTCAGCTTTACTAGAGTAAGCTAGGAAATGCAGTATTTTGAACTTCTGTATGTTAAATATTAATAGCCATTTATGATTTTTTTTAGAGATTTAAGTTAATAGAAAACTTGGGCTGTTTCTTGTGTGATGTCTACTTCTTTAGAAGAGATCATTAGGAGTTTGTAAATCTGTTATATTTGAGCATTTATTATTTATTTGATATGTTTGGTCTTATCTACTTTTTAAGTAGGTGGCCACCAAGTACTAAATTTACTTGGAAATAAAAGAAGAAACAACAGAAAGAAAATTTAAGAAAAGTACAGATAAGACCAAGAGCTTCAGACCTTAGCTTTAGCCTGTTTTCTCCTTCTTATAGACTGGTCATTTGCTTTTAGATCATTCTCTCATTTAGGAAATACATCTTTGACCTTCAAAACTAGAAATAATACCCTTTCTATGGCCAGACATGTACTTACTTTGGTCACAAATGGCATTCATCTATTGTCCACATGACATTATTGGTGTTTAAATTGATTGTAAGTTCCTTGAGGGAGGAATAGATTAAATCTAATGTTTTTTCCCCTTCTCTTTTCAACACAGTGTGGTATTATCATGAAGTGGTTATTTATTTAATGTCAGGCTTTGGAATGTGTGTTTCCTCTAGGGTAGAAGAACCTGTTTTTAAAGTGTTTTAAAATTATATCTTAGGTTTTTTATTAGCTCCTTTTAACTGTATCTATACACCATCAGCAAAAAGCTATAAATTTTCAGGCATCTCGTATTATGGTTTAACATTGTCACAGGGATTGCAGGACTAGTGAAGGTGTCCCATCCTGTTCCTATTTAGGATGTATTAATGTATATACATAGAGGTAGGCTAGAGAATCATAAGAAATTTTAAAAATAATAGTTACACAAGCTTCCTTTTTTCCTATGTGTCATTATTACTGTGGGGCTGCAAGAGTTGTAACAAATCCATATCTAACAAAAGCAGTCAAATGCAGGGGAGCAAAATCCTTATTTACCAAAACACATCAGCAAGCACTGGGGAATTTAGCTTTTGGATATGGATGTCTCTTCCCAAATTTTTGGTGTGTTTATAATAAATATGTTATTTTCTCCTTTTTAAAGGAGTTATCTGTCTTAGAAGAAAGAAGCAAACCATCATTTTGCCCACGTAAATATATGAATATATTTCTGACATTGAGGTGTTCCAGAAGATGATAAAGAAATGATAGCAGCTCCAGAAATACCAACTGATTTTAATCTACTACAGTAAGTAAATTATATTATGATAATTTTTAAATACCCCTTTTCCCCACAAAATGGGAAATGTATTAACTTGAGTTAAGTTTACTTCTGCTTGGCCAGGCGTGGTGGCTCACGCCTATAATCCTAGCACTCTGGGTGGCTGAGGCAGGAGGATCCCTTGAAGTTAGGAGTTTAAGACCAGCCTGAGCAAGAGTGAGACCCTGCCTCTACCAAAAATAGAAAAAATTAGCCAGGTGTGGTGGTGGGCACCTGTAGTCCCAGCTACTCTGGAGGCTGAGGCAGGAGGATCGCTTGAGCCCAGGAGTTTGAGGTTGCAGTGACCTATGATGATACCACTGTACTCTACCCGGGGTGCTGGAGTGAGACTCTCAAAAAAAATTTTTTACTTATGCTTGAGAAGATCTAATATTTGCCATAGCATTTATACTTTGAAACAGTTTATATCAACGCTCATTGGCCTCTGTAATAGTAATTATTCCCTACTTGTTTGGTGCTATGTTTTAAATTTATTTTTTAATTTATATACTGCACAAATTATTTTTCTGTGTAATTCTGAGTCTATACTTGATTTTGCAACAGCAACTGCTTTGAGGGAGCATCACGAGATTCTTAAAAAATTAAGTTTTCTCATTAGTGAGCAATATACACCAGTAGTATTTAGGATGTAAAGTCAGGTTTTTGTTATAAAATCAAATGATAATAGACTAAAAACAAATCTAGGAGAGTAGAACATGCAGCCCATAAATTTTGCAAAAACACATTACATGCATATTGATCAATAAAGTGATTTCAACATAGATACCGTCTTTACCCCATTCTTAAAAGCTACCTATACTCATTAGTAAACTTTTATTCTAATTACTCCTTGGATTTTGATGTAAGAAAGATTTTGAACTACCATATGTAACAGTGATGTTCATGTTAAGCTATAGTTTCATGAGGTGCCTCAGTGAAAAATGAACTTTAAACTGCCTGTGAATCCCTTTAACTTTATTTTACACACACAAACACAAACACAGTACACCCCCACCCACCCACCCCACATTATATTTCCATGAGACTTGATTTGACGAGAGAGTTTGGTTGCTACAAATTTTGAAAACAATGGATAGACCCCATTGTACATAATGGCAGCCAGTATCTGCTTTTGATGTTATGTAGATTTTCATATTTTTAGTAATTTTGTTATCTTTAGTGGAGATTTGGTGGAGTCTACTGGGATCAAAGACATTAAGGTCCCCCCCCCAGACAGTATCTGTAATAGGATTTTATGTATTCCAAGTCCTTAATTTCTTTGTGGAAGTTATTTATTACCTTTGTCAAAAATACTAAGTGCCTGCTGTATGCAGGAACATTATATTAGATTGTGCGAGGAATTAAGTTAGGTATTTCTGCCACCTTTATGAGCTCATAGTTTAAAGATATAAAGAGAAGATTATGAAATTTCTTAAATACATTAAGATTATAGACAATTAAAAAAGTTTGTATTATCAACTAGACTGTTGACTATTAGAATATCTTGGCCGGGCGTGGTGGCTCATGCCTGTAATCCTAGCACTCTGGGAGGCCAAATCGGGAGGATCACTCAAGGTCAGGAGTTCAAGACCAGCCCGAGCAAGAGTGAGACCACGTCTCTACTAAAAATAGAAAGAAATTAGCTGGACAACTAAAAATATATAGAAAATACTAGCCAGGCATGGTGGCGCATGCCTGTAGTCCCAGCTACCCAGGAGGCTGAGGCAGGAGGATCTCTTTGAGCTAGGCTGACACCACAGCACTCTAGCCCAGGCAGCAGAGTGAGACTCTGTCTCAAAAAAAAAAAAAAAAAAAAGGAATATCTTGAATAATTAGGGCTTCAAATAGGATAACAGATAAAAGGAAATTGATATGGAGGTAGAATAGACCTAGCATTTGATTGGGTATGTTGGGGGTGGGAGGGGACAATAAAGTGGAAGATTCGGTCATGTGATTGATGATTCATGATGCTTCAAGCCACTAAATGGTTAACACAGTATGCTCCATAAGCATATATGTTATTTCACCTGGGATATAGGGTAGTTTTTTTGGTGGTGGTGGTTTTGATCTTACAAACACGGGAAAGCATTGAAGAAAGAGCAGAATGTTTCCTCTCTGGGGGTATTTTAGACTCCCATCCTGATTACTCACTCCAGCTTTCTTGAGAAGGTTTTTCAGTTAGTAATCATACCTCTAGTAGCTCATTCTTTTAGTTGGGATAGCCTGGAGATTAGAATTAAAAGTGTAATTGAGCCTTTGATTACTCTCTGGCCATTGGAATATTGCAAAGACTACTGATTGTTCGCAGACTTATAGTAGTTCCTGAGCTCTCTAAGAGAGCTGGTGTCCCACACATGCCTTAGGAAGAAAGAAATATTATTTTGTACACCAAGATATTTAAAAATATTTTCAAGTGTTTTTTTGCAAGACCATATAGGCATGTGAGAATAATATTGATGACAACAATCTTAAGATATAATAGACATGAGTTTCAGGATTAATATTATAGTAGTCATTCAGTTTTTGGTGCATTAACTCTGGGTAATGGTATTTATTACAGGCCTTTTCCTCTCAACATTTTAGGACATAGTTAGGATTGCCACCATCTTCAATACATTGTTTAAATTACTTTGTAGGTAAGTGCTCTAAATAGTAATTTTTTTTTCCTGCTAGCAACTTAACCATTACTTTAGATTTATAAAGTATTCCTATCTCAGTCTGTGCTACCTCATAGCCTCTGGACAGTGGGTTATTATAGCAATAAAAATGGAAATAGAAGAAATCTAGATTGAGAAGACTAGCTTTATAAAGATAGCCTTTTTGATTTTAGTTACTTTAAGCAAAACTGGTACTAGATTTACACATTTAGGATGATAAAACCTTTATGGATGTGGCTCAATTCTAAAATTTGTTGTGACCCAAATACCAATGTAAGCATGCCTTGCCTTAAACATATAAATGAGGGTATTTTACTACTATTTAGATAGATCCATGTTTACACATATAGAAAGCATCACACATGTTTATTTAAAGCAGTCTGCTTCCATGTGTGTGAGAAAATCCAGATTATACAAAGTGGTTCCACCCCTCATCTAAAACAAGGGACAGTTTTTTAGGACTATAGATGTATGTGTGGGAGATTGAAAAGACTTTTAAAGATTTCATATTTTCTTGCATATAAATTATTTGTAGATGAGAAGATTGAGAGGTTGTTACTTGTACAAGATCACACACTTAGTACCAGAACTGGTTCTCCTGACTATAGCTCACCACCGCTTTACTTCATGAAGCATTTTGATCACTTAGCACACTTCCCTACTGTATTTCAAATGATTTATAGTAGTTTATAAAAATGTTTTATGTACACTCTTTCAGAAATAAGTATTTTGTAGAGTGTTCAAACCTAGATTTATAAATATTTTTTGAATAAGGCAGGAGAGATCAGAGAATATATAATATTGCTAAAATTACCTAATTAAGTCCATTCAGTGCCTAGTGTTAAAATACAGTTTTCCTTCAGCACTATGGTCTGGAAACCAGAAAATGAAACCAGTCATTAGAACACCACAGTCCCTAGGGTTAAATTTTGAGAGCCACTGGTTTAGCTTTCATGCTTTGATTAAAAGTGAACAAAATAAAAAATGTTTAGGTATTTATATTTTAGAGGTTTTTTTGATAGTTGGTTAGGTAATCTTGTATGTTTGGTGTTGTGCTATAATATCATGTTTTGGAAAAGCATCTTAATTATTTTAGTTATAATATGGAGTTTTGTAATGAGTTAACTAAGCCTTTCTTTTAGAAAATATGGCAAAAATTAGAAACTCCATCTACGTTTCTAATTATTGCTTATCTTCTTGTCACAGGGAGTCAGAGACACATTTTTCTTCTGACACAGATTTTGAAGACATTGAAGGAAAAAACCAAAAGCAAGGCAAAGGAAAAGTACGTACCAAATATATGACTTTATTTTGGCTTTTAAGATACTGCGTGTGCGTGTGTGTGTGTGTGTGTGTGTGTGTGTGTATAGTTAGCTCAGATACAGATAAATATATATAGCAGAACCCTGGAAGAATGTATTTAAGGAATGTAGAAAATAAAAAACCTAGTAAGATTATAGTAATAATACATTTAACATAGTTCTTAGAGTTGAATTTATATCCTCAAATGCGATTGTTACAAAATAAGAAACACTGAAGATACAGATAAATATATATCTCAGAACCCTGGAAGAATGTATTTAAGGAATGTAGAAAATAAAAAACCTAGTAAGATTATAGTAATAATACAGATAACAAAAAAATGGAATCCACAAGAACAAATGCTCTTTTTGTGAAAAAATAACAAAATCAACTAACCTCTGACAGATTAATGAATAAAAG